GTGCAGAAAAAGAACTACAGACCAATATTCCTGATGATCATGGATGCAAAAATCCTCAAAAAAATACTAGCTATTGAATTCGAAGACGCATCAGAAAGATCATTTACCCGGACCAAGTAGACTGTATATTTTTGCCCCTCAAATGACGTATGTTGAAGCCCTAATCTTCCCATCCAACTCCCATGACGATGTTAGGAGATGAGGTCGTTGGGAAGTGACTAGGGTCAGATGAGTCGAGGATAAATGGATCTCCATGATGGGATTAGTGTCCAGATAGAAAGAGGATGGACAGCAGAGATCTCTCCCTGACCCACTCCTCCTGAAGACATCATATTCTCTAGAGAAGGCAAACTTCTGCAAGCCAGGAAGTGGCTCCTCACCCTGATAATCTGCTGGCACCTTGAACTTGGACTCTCCAGTTTCTGGAACAGAGAAATTTTGGTAGTTTAAACTATCTAGTCAGTGGTATTTTGTTATGACAACCTGTGTTGATTAAGAAACTCAGCATCTGGAAAATGTTTTGTCTCTAACCTGGAATTCAACAATTCATGAAGCAATCCATCAATAACAGTAATAAAAACTACAGACTTTGGTCTTTTTCCAGAATTTGGGATTGTTTAATGAGATGCCAGTCCAGAGAAATAGAAATGACTTTGTTGCATTCTCTGAGCAGAAATGCAGCATGGCTCATGGGGAATTCTCACTGTACTGTGGCAAAAACACCCAAAGGAAAGTGTTCAATAACAACCCCAGTTCACTTATGAGTGTGTAGGTATGACACTCCTGGGGCAGTAAATGTCTTCACCTCTTATGGGAGAGAATGGCTCGACTGAATTCTGTACTGTAAGAAGGGAAGGCCTCTAGTTTTTGTTTAATGTGTCCCTTATGTACCCTGCAGTAATAGGGCGAGACAAATAGTCTTGAGTAATGAAAATAATTTTGCTACACTTAAAAGTTTCCCTTGCTGAAGATAAAGAACATGGCTCACTAGTTTCAATGCAAAAATTTTGACATTAATACAACATATCAATATTTTTAAAAAGATATTAAGTTGTCTTCCAATATTCTCCTGTGCATAATACCTGAAATTACATATATAAAATATAACTGAATGCATTTATATTATGAACAGAAATATTTATATATTAATACATAAAACTTATATATAACAATAGGAAAATTAGTTATATATTAAGATTATGCTTTATAATATATAAAATATAAGTAATATTTATATGTAATTTAATTGAAGTTCTAAACATTAAAGACTGATTTGGATCACTGAATTCATATCTGGAAACAAATAAAAAATAACTAAAATGTCTCCTGTAAGAGAAATAAACAGGCAAGTCAATAAAAAATTAATAAGGCTTACTTGAGTCATTTATTAATGTGTAAATACTATCTCATTCTTTGAAAGTGAGGGATTTGACTGGCAAATCAATAAGGAAGAACAAAGGTTGGCACACTTGGCTTTGAATATGAATTCTTAATTTCTGGAGTGATCCTAAGGAATGTAATGGGAGTTAGGTCAAGGGTGCAGAAAAGGAGTAGTGTGGTTACTAAACATAAATTTCCTGGGGTCAGTGCTGTTGTGTAGTGGGTTAAGCCACTATCTGTGATGCTGGCATCCCTTATGAGCGTTGGTTTGTGTCCCCGCTGCACCACTTTGAATCCAGCTCCCTGCTAGTGCTCTAGGGAAAGGCAGAGACAGATGATCCAAGTCCCTGGGCCTCTGCCATCCACCTGTCATCCAGCTCCTGGCTCTGGTCTGGCTCAGCCCTAGTCACTGAGGATATCTGGAGTGTGAACCACAGGATCAAAAAAACCTCTGTCTCTCCATAAATCTGCCTTTCAAACAAATAAAATTAATTTTTTTAGAGATTTATTTATTTTATTTGAAAGAGTTACACAGAGAGGAGGGGCAGAGAGAGAGAGAGAGAGAGACTTGTCTTCCATCCGTTGGTTCACTCCCCAATTGGCCGCAATGGCTGGAGCTGTGCCGATCTGAAGCCAGGAGCCAGGAGCTTCCTCCTGGTCTCCCATGTGGGTGCAGGGGCCCAAGGACTTGGGTCATCTTCTACTGCTTTCCCAGCTGGATTGAAAGTGGAGCAGCCAGGTCTCGAGCCAGCGCCCATATGGGATGCTGGCACTGCAGACCAGGGTGTTAACCCGCTGCACCACAGCGCTGGCCCCAAAATAAAATAAATCTTAAAAATAAAAAAAAATTACCATTCTTATAGTGCTACTCATGACTTTAACAAATGCCAGTATGACTCTGAATAAAATACTTCAAATTCAGCATTTGTATTGATTTACTCAGCATTTATCTTAATATATATCTTGGATACAATTTATAATGCCTGTCACAAAGTAGTTATTTATTAAACAACTGATGAACGAATGGATATGAAATTGTCCTCAGTAGTTAGGGTCTTACCATGCTTTGGGTGCTTGCTGGGTAGGGAGGTTTGGTGAGAGAAAAGGCGTCTGGAATGGAATCAATAAAATAACACCTAAGGTAGTTGACTATCTCCACAGAGGAAATAAAAAAAAAAAATCCCAGCACTAGGCTTTTTCTAGAGATAGTTTGCCATGAAAATTGGAAAAATATTAAATTGCCTTATTGGGCAAATTTTTAAAAATATTTATTCATTTATTGTGAAAGTCAGAGTTACAGAGAGAGAAGAAGAAGCAGAGAGAGACCTTTCATCTGCTGGTTCACTCTCTAGATGGCCACAATGGCCGGTGCTGGGCCATCTGAAGTCCGACTTCATCCGAGTCTCCCACAAAGGTGGCAGGGGCCCAAGCACTTGGGCTATCTTCCACTGCTTTTTCCAGGTCATTAGCATGGAGCTGGATTGGAAGTTGGAGCAGCCAGGACATGAACTGGTGCCTATATGGGATGCCAGCATCACAGGTGGTGGTTTTATCCACTATACCACCAGCCCCAACTAGGCAACTTTTAAAATTAAAAGGCAAACAAGATCACAACAACAATGCATCTTGGCTATTGGTGGTAATTTATTTAATTGGGAATTCTACTACTGTACTAAAAATGAAGAATAATGTTAATAATTAAATCTTCCAAAGCAAAATATCATTTAATTCTTTCTTAATTATCAAATTACGAAATTAATAATTACATTGGGCATGGCAATGATGGAAACATACCATTAAAGAAAAGCAGTGCATTGAATTCACTGAAATACTTGCATGTCAAAAGGTATATTTAGAAAGCACAAACTGTATTTATTTATTTTTTTAAAGATTTATTTATTTATTTGAAAGGTGTAGTTACAGAGAGGCAGAGTTAGGGAGAGAGAGAGAGGTCTTCCATCTGATGGTTCACTCCCCAGATGGCTGCAACAGCTGAAGCTGTGCTGGTCTGAAGCCAGGAGCCAGGAGCTTCCTCTGGGTCTCCCATGTGGGTACTGGGCCCAAGGATTTGGCCCATCTTCTACTGCTTTCCCAGACCATAGCAGAGAGTTGAATCGGAAGAGGAGCAGCCGGGACTAGAACCAGTGCCCATTTGGGTGCCGGCATTGCAGGTGGTGAATTTACTCATTGTGCCACAGCACCAGCCCAAAATTGTATTTATTTTTAAAGATTCATTTATTTCCTCATTTGAAAGGCAGAAAGAGGGAGAGAGAAAGACAGATCTTTCAGCCTATGCTTGATTCCTCAAATGGACACAAAAGCCAGGGCTGGACCAGGCTGAAGCCAGGAGTCAGGAACTCCATCAGGTTGTCCCACATGGGTGGCAGAAACTTGAGTATTTGGGCCATCATCTGCTGCCACCCAGCTCCATCAGTGGGGAGCTGGATTGGCAGCCAAGCATCCAGGACTTGAACCAGAACTTGTACAAGGGATCCAGACATCCCAAGCGCTGCTGTGCCACAGTGCCCACCCTCAAAATGTGTATTTAATCTACGAGTATTTGAAGAAATAAAAAAATGCTTCAGATTATAGTGGATTTTTAGGCAGGATGTGAAGACAATGTGAAAATAGTTTAAGTGTTTTTAAAAGTGACCATTTACAGACAACAGGGTAGAAATTGCTGGGCATCCAGCCTTTGGTCACATGGTTGCTTAGCAGTGTGCAGGAGGGTGGGCCCTGAAGACCCAATCATTCTGGCTCAATACAGGGCGTTCTAATGGACAACACTCACTCCAGTTTCCTCGCAGGGTTGGCCCAGGTTTGTCAGATGGTAGTTTGAAGTTATCTCCTGATAATTGTTTCGAGATTCATGGATGATGTAGTGTGTTCACTCTTTTCTGTGGTGTGGAATTCCCCTGCTGTATGGATAAAGGTTTGCTTAGCTATTCTTTGGCTATTGGACATGTGGGTGATTCCCAGTGTGGGCATGTGGCAAATAGAACTGCTATTATCATTCACATACAAGTCTTTGCATGAACATATGCCTTAAAGTTTTGACAAATTTGAGAAATTTTCAAAATTTCTGCTGTAAGGAGATAATATTTTCAACTGTGAATTTAGAAATATTTAAGAACTTGTGAATTTGATGAGGTTGTGTGGGAGATAAAGAGCATTATTTTCCCTACTGATATGACTATGGATGAGTACAAACATTTTTAAGGGCAAATTATATCTATCAAACTTGAAAAATACGTTTATCATTATCCTAAAATTCTCCACCATTTGCTGTACTATTGAGAAAATTACTTAGTCTCTATGTTCTTATATTTTTCATAGGTGGAAAGAGGATGATAATGTTAAATATGTACTTCATAGGTTAATACATAATTCATAGGGTTAAAGTGAGCATTTAATAAACTCATGAAAAATGCTTGTTATACCAACATGGATTTCATTATTATTTTTACCACTACCATGAGAATCTATTCCTCAGAAACACTTTCTTAAATATAAAAAGAATATATTTGTAAGGATGTTCACCACAAATCTTGTTACAATAAAAAGCTGGAGACAATCTAAATGTTTAGTGATAAGGGATCTGTTAAACGACTTTTTGTACATCTTTTTTTGAAAAGATTTTATTTATTTGAAAGGCAGTTCGAGAGAGAGAGAGGGAGAAACAGAGAGGGCTTTCATCCACTGATTCACTCCCCAGGTGGCTGTAACCTGCCAGGGCTGGGTCAGGCCAAAGCCAGGAGTCTAGAGCTTCTTCCAGGTCTCCCATGTGTGTGCAGGGGCCTCAGCACTTGGACCGTTCTCCGCTGCTTTCCCGAGTGCATTAGCAAGGAGCTGGATTGGAAGAGGTGCATCCAGGGCTCTAACCAGCTTCCTATATGGGAGGTTGGCGCTGCCGGCCTTAGCTTTAACCCACTGTGTCACAGAGCCAGCTCCGAATTTTTGTACGTCTGTGAGAGGCAATATAGAGAAAGGATGGATGGGCTCTGCAGAAGACATGGCCTGATTCCATGCACTGCCTCAGTTCCTGCAGGCTGTGACCTTTAATCCATTCCTTCACTACTCTATACCGTAGTTGTTCAACTACAAAAACATAAATAATGATAATAATACTCACATTATAAATGTAATTCTGAGGAATTAATGAGACGTTCACTGTGAGATTGTGTAGAAGACAACCAGAACGTAGTGAACAGTATCCCATAATTTACATGATTTCCTGGATTTTAACGTACTGTTTGTTTGAAGAGGGGCTATTAGCTGTGGAAGCTGCAGAAAAATATGCTGTCTTTTCCTCCCTGTAGATACTGCTTGATGATGACAGGTAAATGCTCCACTTAGAAGTCCTTAGACTGGGATGTCAATGTTCAATTATGTGCCATTTGCTACATTATTCTCTAATTACAGAAAGAGAATGGTTAAGCATATTTCAAATTTCTAACCAAATTTTGTTAATTTTGAATTACAAATGAAAATTTTTGTATATAAAATTGATCGTATCAACCCCAAGGAAAAAATAGAAAAAGTTTTACAAAAAGCACTTTTTGTTTTTGAGGAATTTATTTTAATTTGTGAGTCTAAAGAACATATATTTTACATTTAAATATGCAGGGAATAACAAAAGTTAAGTGTTTTATTGAAATGACTATTGTAACTAACATTATTCATGATTAATATTTTGTAATATTACCTTAAACTGAAATGACTAACAATGGAGAAACAAAAATAAGAGTAGTTGTACTCATGAATTGACTTTGTCTTCTATGTCACTAAATGTCTTTAGAGCAAGAACTCCTTTGCATACAGGCTATGCAAAAAGTATTCAAATAACTTTATGAAATAAACAAGCATACAGTTTGCTCAGATGAAAAAAAGGAATTGGCTTTCTTTGCGTGTAGAAAAACCAAAAACAGAGCAGATGTGCATGCAAAGACAAGTAAAAACATTGGCTGTTTCTCAGTAAAGGTGATAGTCTTGTCTCTCATAGTAACTTACGTACGGTATAATAAGTAACCACTAAATGTGGTGACAGGGGGAATCTTCGCTGGAATGGTTCCTTTAACGAGTCGTAACCACACTTCCTGCCCGTAATTTAATTCTAGTAGGGCATCCCCAGTCAGCACCCTATCACAGTGAATTTCACTGTTAATATTTTCAGACTCAAATGCAAGCTTGTCTCTTCCATCAACCACTAAAAACCCAGAGATATGAGCACTCAGTGACTCAATGGTGTACTTGAAAACATATACTCCAAGATACGGAACCCGGAATTTCCCAGTCCTTGGGGTATATGAAGCTCCGTAATTGACATCCAAATCATTAAATAGGATAGGACCAGGAGTAGTCATTCCATAGGTATGAGATACAAAAAATGCCACCATCGGTGCGTATCTGTAAGATCCTTTGGAAAAATCTGTTAAAGGGAAAAAAATGGCAAGAGTTAATTTCCATGTTTCTGTCTTGTTTTGTCTCTCTTCATATCATTATCATTTTCCTCAGTTACAAAATGGCTTAGCAAAGACAAAAAGTTTTCCATCAAATTTCACAAGGTGTGCTGGTGAGTGTCTGCATGCCTGACTCTTCTCTGGGCTGCATCACCCTGAGTGGCTTAACCTATTAGTGCCTCAATTTGTCCATTTAGATCAGGATAAAATCAAAATAACATTTGTTACCGTCCTCTTAGAAATGCCTCAAAGATTAATTTGCATGTTGCTTTGATCCCCTTGGAGATAAAGAAATTCAAAGCACTCTGTGATTATTATGGTATGCCAGAATATTTTAAAGCCCCTTGCAGGAATTGAAGCTAACATGATGTAGAAGCAATTTTTCTAGCACCTTGTCAAACAGATTTTAGAGGCTAATGCAGAAACCAAATGAAATCATATTCATTGCAGAAAAGTAGACAAAAGCAATTTTTCCTGTAATTAATGCCAAGTGTACTTACAAAGGCTGAGAATTAAAAATAGACTAAAAAATTTACTCTTTACTATGCAGCATACTATTAAGAAAAGCCTGATTTTTTTTTGTTGGCTGTCATTAAAGAGAATGCATTCTAGATACTGCATATATTTTCATTCATAGAAATCAGAAATGGTGTATTCTTGCAGTAAATATAGAGCCATCAATATTCCTCACATTAAATGTACAAAATAGCTTTCTTGGATTACTCAACATTTTTGAGCATTTTCTGTTAGTCCTTGTGCAATTGAAAATGGCACTGTTTGCTTATCCTTTGTGGAAAATATATCAGGGTTTCATTTAAATGACCATATCTGATGAGAGTCAAAGGCATATTTCTTTAAGAGTTTGAGGAAAAAGAATTTATACCAGTGAGATACATACAGTTGAATTGTCTTTTAACATACATAAGAGAAAGATTATGAGGGAGAATGGAATTTTCAATGAACTGCCTTTAGTATAGCATCATTGAAAAGTTCCACAAGTGCTTATAAACACAAATGTCCCTGCCAAAAAAATATTTCCACTTGTAAATCATTATTCAGTAAGTTTCAGAAGTCAAAAGATTCCATGCTAAGTGAGCTGCATTATCTGGGCTTAACCATTCATTCACAAATATTTTCCAGAAATGTTTCTGTGATGACATTGAGCAAACCCAGGGATGCATGCACTTTTTTACCTGGAGGCAAAGCATTTTCTTCCACCAGCTTGATAGTGCAGTTGTCACCAGTAAAAGGATGTCGGCAAGCACAGGTAAAGCTTGTTCTTCCATTTATACATGTGCCCCCATTCTGGCACGGGGACTTCCTGCAGCCTGAATACTCTTCTGGTGCTGGGAAAGAACCAACATGAAAGGGGATAAAGTGGCTGTTTTCCTGTCGACCTCAAATCATAATTTGCAGCAAAAAGGAAAAGCACTGAACTTGAGATAAGAATAATAGGTTTGCAGGCACAGGTGCATTTTTCTTTGATGGCCACTTCTTACCACTGGGGTCTCTCTCACAGAGATCCTTCATGTACATCTTGTTTTTTGCCAGTCTCTTAGCTTTCTATGCCTGAAATGTTCTCAAGGTCTTTTCAGCCAGATCAGAATGCCAGACTCAGAATGATTCTTAGGCCAGAGTGCTATTTAAAGTGATTGTTATTCTATGAGTCTGCTGTGTTGTTCTATGAGTCTGCTTCCCATGTTGGAATATTTTCTCCTTTTTAATTCTATTATTATTATCAGATGTTTGATCTTATTTATATGATCCCTTTAACACTTAATCCTATCTATATCTTGTGTTAAAGTAACCATATTAAGTGTTAAAGGGATCATATAAATAATTATCATTACCTCAGTAGACCTGAGTTACCATCTCTTTCCAAAGAAGCTATCCAGGGTTCAATGCTGTAATATAGTGGGCTAAATCTCTGCCTGTGGTGCTGGCATTCCATAAGTGCACCTGTTTGTATCCCAGCTGATCCACTTCTGATCCAGCTCTCTGCTGATGGCCTAGGAAAATAGTGGAAGATGACTCAACTGCTTGGGCCCCTGTACTCACATGAGAGACCAGGAAGTAGCTTCTGGCTCCTGGTTTTGGATTGACTCAGCTCCAGCCATTGTGGCCATTTGGAGACTGAACCAGCAAATGGAAGACCATTATCTCTGTCTTTCCCTCTTGCTGTCTGTAACTCTACCTCTCAAATAAATAAATAAATTTTTTAAAGATTTATTTATTTATTTGAAAGTCATAGTTACACTGAGAGAGAAAGAGAGGCAGAGAGAGGTCTTCCATCCACTGGTTCACTCCCCAAGTGGCTGCAATGGCCAGAGATGCACCGATCTGAAGCCAGGAGCCAGGAGCTTCCTCCAGGTTCCCTACATGGGTGCAGAGGTCCAAAGACTTGGGCCATTCTCTACAGGCCATGGCAGAGAGCTGGATTGGAAGTGGAGCATCCAGGATTCGAACTGGCACCCATATGGGATACTGGTACTGCAGGCGGTGGTTTACCCACTGTGCCACAGCGCTGGCACCATAAATAAATATTTTAAAAAATAATTTATCCATTGTTCTATTCTGAATGAAATGTTTTAGCTACCCTGTCTAGCTTTGCTATCACTTCCAACTTTACACTTCACACATTCATCCAGGTCATTGATAAAAATACTTAATGGATCAATGTTGAGTATAGAACCTCATAACAGACAACTAAAGATTGGTTGGCACTGAATTGGCATCTCCAGTTGGCACTGATTTGTTATACAGTTAGTTACAGGTCTACTTTTGTACATCTTTTGACTCATATTTTTCTACTTTATTATTATTTATTTTTTTTGACAGGCAGAGTGGACAGTGAGAGAGAGAGAGAGACAAAGGTCTTCCTTTGCCATTGGTTCACCCTCCAATGGCCGCCACGGCCAGCGTGCTGCGGCCGGCGTACCACGCTGATCCGATGGCAGGAGCCAGGTACTTATCCTAGTCTCCCATGGGGTGCAGGGCCCAAGCACTTGGGCCATCCTCCACTGCACTCCCTGGCCACAGCAGATAACTGGCCTGGAAGAGAGGCAACCGGTACAGAATCCGGTGCCCCGACTGGGACTAGCACCCGGTGTGCTGGTGCCGCAAGGCGGAGGATTAGCCTAGTGAGCCGCGGCGCCGGCCCCTTTCTACTTTATTATTAAAATACTTAATAAGTGATGAGGTGCCTTTATAAGCACCTATTTATGTTAGTGTTCATTAGGTTATTTGTATTGAAATCAAAAACACATCTCCAGCTCCAATAAAGCATCGTTTACTTTTTTTTTTTTTTTTTTTTTTGACAGGCAGAGTGGACAGTGAGAGAGAGAGACAGAGAGAAAGGTCTTCCTTTGCTGTTAGTTCACCCTCCAATGGCCGCTGCGGCTGGCACACCGCACTGATCCGATGGCAGGAGCCAGGTACTTATGCTGGTCTCCCATGGGGTGCAGGACCCAAGCACCTGGGCCATCCTCCACTGCACTCCCTGGCCACAGCAGAGAGCTGGCCTGGAAGAGAGGCAACCGGGACAGAATCCGGTGCCCCGACCGGGACTAGAACCTGGTGTGCTGGCGCCGCAAGGCGGAGGATTAGCCTAGTGAGCTGCGGCGCCGGCTCGTTTACTTTTTTTAAAAAAAAGATTTACTTATTTTTTGGAAGGCAGAGTTACAGAGAGGCAGAGACAGAGAAAGAGACAGACAGACACACACACACACACATACAGAGAGAGAGAGAGAGAAAAAATCTTCCATCTGCTGGTTCACTCCTCAAATGGCCGCAACAGCCGGAGCTGAGCCATTCCAAAGCCAGGAGCCAGGTACTTCTTCTGGGTCTCCTATGTGGGTGCAAGGGTCCAATGACTTGGGCCATATTCCACTGTTTTCCCAGGCCCTAGCAGAGAGCTGGATCAGAAGAGGAGCAGCCAGGACTTGAACTGGTGTCCATATGTGATGCTGGCACTGCAGGCAGTGTCTTTACCTGCTACACCACAGCTCCAGCCCCACATCATTTACTTTTTGACATCTTCTCTCATGTCTACCCAGTAGAGTTAATTACTTTAATTTTCTCAATTATTGTCATGGTGCTTTGCAGGTCTCTCAAAGAATTTGCAATACTTGGATATAATTATTTCCAAATAAGTGTGAGTTTTTGTAAGGTTAGGGTTCAGACTCTCTGTTTCTTAAACTTTCTGTTGCTATGCTTAGTACAGTGACTGTCATTTAGCAAGTGCTAAATTAGTGTCTTTTTGACACCAGGCCAGTTATGTAACACACAGAGAAGCACATTACACAAATTCACTCTGTGACTCTGATTCTAGGTAATATGACCACACAGCATCAGCATGAGTCTTTGTGCTTCATCCTGATAGCAATGCTCACTGTGATATTTCTACCCTCATATTTGTGAATGCTTTCTTAGCTTCAGTACTATTTTGACTATCCATTTATCAAAATTGTTTCTGTCAAATAATTATACTTTCTTTTTTTTTATTTAACAGATAGACAGTGAGAAGAGACAGAGAGAAAGGTCTTCCTTCCATTGGTTCAGATAATTATACTTTCATTGCTCAAGAACTAGTGTAGATTCTTTTTTCCACACCTACTACAAATGTCAACATTAATCTTAAATAATAAATGTTCAATTCACTGTTCCAATTACCCATCATGTATTCACTGGTGTATTTCCAACCATCTTTACTACTTTTTTTCAAAGTATCAGTTTTGATTTTTGTCATCCCTTTTACATCACATCTTTCATTCTTGATCTTGTTCCCTGGTATCCTTGTTCCTTGAGCCTTCAAATATTACTTTTAAGCACATTTAAACAAATCAGCAATCTCAACTGGATATATTAGCCTTCTCCAAGAAGAATTACTCTAAGCTTGCCATTTTATTATTGTTCCATTATCTTAAGCCATGACCTAGGAAATTAAATGTTTTTATTTGCTATCATCGACTGTTTTCTCCTCATCCTTCGGAGTCATTAGCTTATTCAAAAGAAGAGTTAAAAGAATTGTCCAGATTAAAATATTGTTTGTCATTAGTCATTAGGAAATATCATAAAATACAACTGCTTACCTTCCAGATGGTAAAATAAACTACACTGATGATGTCAGTGCTGGCAAAGACATCCAGCAATGACAACTCTCATACATTATTGATGGGAATGCTAAGTGGTTGGCCATTTCTTTTAAAATTGAAACTGTACTTACAATCAAGCTATACTACTGCTGCTTATCTATTCAAAAGAAAAGAAAACTTACATTCACACAAAAACCTGCATGTCAGCATTATTCATAATCACTCCCAAGTTATAAACAGCTCAAATACCTTTCAACTGGTAAGCAGAAAAACTGTAGTATATCCATATAATGGACTACTACTCAGTAATAAAAAAGAATAGGTGTAGCAATGCAGGTGAGAGTCAGGAACACACTATTTTAAGTAAAAAAAGCCAGATTCAAGAGCCTCTGCAGACTGTAGAAGTTCATTTATTAAATGTTCCAGAAAAGAAAATTGTATAGGAAGAAACAGATCACTGGTTGCCAGTGCCTAGGAGTGGGGACAGAGTTTGCTTACAAAGATGCAAGAGGAAATGTTATGGCGTGTTAGAACTGTTCTCTATCTTGATGGTGGTATCAGTGAATTTAACTGTGCATAAATTATACCACAAACAAACAAACGGTACCTGTTTCAAGTCCCTCAACTGCTTGTCTAGGATTTCAAAATCATTTTAGGTCCTCTTGCTCCTCTTCTTCCTCCACCTCCTCCTTCTCTTCTTTCTCCCTCTGATCCTTCATCCCTCCCTCTCTCTCTTTTACCTTCCTGCTCTCTCCAAATAAAGGCAGCCTCCATGTTTGTTTCTATCTTCTATCTCTTCCCCCTTCTAGATATTTGTTTTACTTCTGTATCCTCCTATATCACCTCTTTAAATGATTTCCAAATTCTATCTATACATCTTTTTCTGCTTCCAGACTTCCATTTAAACTGGACTTTTGGTCACTTCCATATAGATAATAGATCTTCAAATTGTATGTCACAAACTAAAATTCTCTGCCTGTGTACATTTCTTTTCTTTCTTCTTCTTCTTCTTTTTTTTTTTTCCATTGGTTTACCCCGCAAATGGCTGCTATGGCCAGCGCGAAGCGCTGATCTGAAGCCAGGAGCCAAGTGCTTCTCCTGGTCTCCCATGTGGGTGCAGGGCCCAAGCACTTGGGCCATCCTCCACTGCCTTCCTGGGCCACAGCAGAGAGCTGGACTGGAAGAAGAGCAACCCGGACAGAACCAGCGCCCCAACCAGGACTAGAACCTGGAGTACCGGCGCCACAGGCAGA